ATATGATTTTAAAAAAAACTGTTTCAATTTGTTTTTCTTCCTTCAGTAATTCAATAACTATTAGACAGAGTAAAATTTGATACGAATTACGCTTAGCTTTATTTAACTCAAGTGTTCACATATTTATATTAATCTAAGTATAATTCAATTACTAAGGTCTAATAAAACTACAACAATAACCATAAGCAACAAATGGATATTGTTCAATTTGCATTAGATTTTTGTTAGCAGCAATATAACCATAACCTTTATCACCCCATGTAATATCCCAATTATTTCGAATGATCCAATAATCTAAACCTTGAAAATTACCATAACCAACAATATTGATTGCATGATATGTTACTTGTTGTTGTTGATCAGAATAATTATCATCGCGAATAATTGTACGGCCACTGTTTTTCAAAAGATTAGTAATTTTCAACGTTAATCAATTTCATTCACGTTTTAATGCAACTCACTCATAATGTTGAAAAGATTTCAAATCTTTAATAGCAATAATTGTAGCAATAGCTGTATGTGTTTTTGTTAATGCTTGACGAATTTTCAATGGATTTTGTGGCTCAATTTGACAATAAGTCAAAGTCATATAACGTCCTACTCCTAGTAATCGTGGACATGATTGTTCCTATTATAAACAACAGCAAAAAAAATTGAAAATTAACCCTTAACACTCGTTTGCCACATCTGAAAAAAACATGAACAAAACTTACATGTTCAACATATGGATAATCATATTCGGCGACAACACCATATCGATCCATATAATAAAAACCAAATTTTAAATCATTTAAACCGCGTTGAACATTATCACCCGAACAACCATTCTGTGATGCACAATCAATTAGTTCTTGTTCAGAAAGATCTACTGAATAATAATTTCCAGCAATTCTTGCTGATTCAAATGAAGCAATAGCAGCAAATGCCCAACTTGATGCACAATTTCCTTGCATACGTATTGGTAGTAATGTTCCTAATGAACGTAAATCAATTTCATCAGAAATATTCATGTTCGAATCAAATTCACAAATACGTGGTGTAATTAAATTTTGGNTTCGATTTATTTTCTACAGCCAAAAAACAACAACAACAATATCGATTACAATCAAACACGAATATTAAAAAAAAACGTTTAAGTTATTAATTAATTAATAATCCATTTCAATATAAGGATGTTTACCGAAAAATTAAAAAAAAAAAAAAGAAGTAAATAACACACATAAACTATGTGAAATTGGTAGTGGTAGTGGTAAAAAAAAATAAAGTGGGAGCAACTCCCATTTGGTAGCAGCAGAAGCACCCATTTGAATTAAAAAGAACTGTTATGTTGTTGTTTGTTCAGTTATACGCGTATCTGTTTTGTATTGGTTTTCATTTTTGGACAAAAGATGGCAGTAACAATCGCCGATTGTCAATAAACAATCGATTAATCGATTGTTTTTTTTTTGAATTCGAATTTTTTTGCATTCGAAATTTTCCTTCTTTTTTTTTGTTTTGTTTATTTTAATTTTTTGAAATTTTTGAATTTGTTTTGCAATTGATAAAGTGATTTTTTGTTTGTTTGTTTAGTGAATAAAATCAGTGATACGATATGTGATTGTGCATGTGTGAATGTGAAACATATTTTTTTAGTGTTTATTTTTTTGTTTATAAACCATCATAATCAATTTACAATAAAAAAGTGAAAACTGACCAATTTTTTGAATGTTGTTTATATCATCGAATTGAAAGAAAAAAAAAGGTAAGTAAAAAAATTAAAATATTGATTGATTGATACTTACCCGAACAAAACCGGCCATGCTAATCGTGCCAAATTTTCCATATGAAAAACCATAACGATTGTTTGTATGAAATTTTTCGATTTGTGATAATAGTTTCCAATGTAAATTTATTGATTTTGTTTTTACA